CTGCTGCAGCAGAAAAAAACAAAAACAACAAGGACCAGAGAGCTGCTATGAATGCCCAGTCTCTGCTTTGGCAAGCCCAGGCTGCATCCATCCTCCAACATCAGCAGATGCAACAGCTTCAACAACTTCAGCTTCATCATCAACAGCAACAGTTCCAGCAACAAGCTGCTGCTGTGAGAGAGCGGGAGACCAGAGAAACTATTGCTGCAATCATGGCCAGTAAAAGTAACAGTCTTGGCTCTGGCACTAGTAAATCTAGTGGCAGCATCTCTACTGGGCAATCTGCTAAGTCTCTGTTGGCATCAGCCTCATTATCCTCCTCCTCATCTTCATCCTCATTGTCATCCAATAAACGACCAAGGCCAGTTGTTCCACCATCACCTTCAGATCTTTACTCCAGAGACGGTTCCAGCTTGGAGAAAAAATCAAGACCTAGTCAGCCGTCGTCTAGTCATGTTTCTAACCATAACTATCACTCTTCTTCCTCTTCTGTGGTCACCAACTCATCCTCGCTGTCATCATCATCCTCTTCAGCTTCTGCTAAAAACACCCCAGTGACAAGCAAGTCTGCTAGTAGCAGCGGGAGCAGTAGCAACATGAAACAACGCAGTAGCAGCAGCAGTGGTACATCTGGTACACCAGGCAAGCATGAGTTCCTGGATTTATCAGCTGCTTTGCAGCTCTCAGCTGCACCTGCTCCAGGCCTCTGGGGTTTCCCAGGAGTGCTTCAGCCTCCTTCGGTTGACATGGCTCGAATGTCTCGTTTCTTTGAGCGCCCAGGAGAAGCTGCAGCTTCTTCTGCACCCTCAGGAACACACCCTGAACCAGAGGCCAGTGGTGCGGAAGTATTAGACCTTAGCGTCAAGCCGAGAACTGGCAAAACATGAAACTGTCTAGTTTACCACTATCATTTGACCACTGCAATGGAAATATCAGACTGTACATATGAAATGTTGCTAATACATACCAATGGTCTTAGCAATAAAACCAAAGGATTAAATACTCAGTTTTTTCATGAAATGACATTTCCATAGAGTTGTGATGGGCACGGAGAAACAATTGTGTCATTTCATTTTCTTTTTTGATGTCGTCATTCAGTTCATTTTGAGTATATACCATCTTTGTTTTTTGTTCATTTCTTTGCACTTTCTTCCCCACCCCCTTTTCTGGATTACTTGAGTTAAATCAATCAGATCTGGAATGCATACAGTGTAACATTATCACTTAGTAACTGCATTCAGATAATCTGTGACATTCTAATATATACAAGTCAATATTTATGTGTTTAATTTTGATGGAATTTTATTAGATTCCACTAGCAATGGATTTTTATGTGTATGTATATATTTATATATGTGTAGCAGTGAGGTCACATCAAATTTCAAGGAACTGCAGGATGAATGACCAATGGATTAAATCCACGAATAGTGATGATTTAACATTTAAAAAGATGTTCGTAAATTGTTTCATTCTAACATTATTATTGTTTATAATATACCCAGAAAATTACAGTCTGACCCAAAGTTGAACCAAAAGACAAATACTGCAAGTTTCCCCTTGTGTTAGATAGGCTAAGCTCCCTGGGTCATGTCACTATGACCACTTTGTTCTCACAGATTCAATGTGCTGTGTGTGACCTACTCTCTGACCTTTATCTGATAATGACAGTATTAAATGACTGCCTTGAAAGGCTAATTGTGTCACTAGATAACTAAAGCCAACCAATCAAATAAAGTAAGACAAAATTATTTTAATTTTAATTGTCTGGTTGGTCTCTTGTGCTCTTTCTACCCTCCCCCCCCATATATCTTTGAAAGTGAGGTTTAGATGGCCAGATTTTTATCAGTCTGTAGGCCCAGAATTGTAATTGCTGCACAAGACAAGTTCATAGTTTCATAATAAAAAGTTCAAATTAGAACATGCTCTCTGTTGTCACATTTCTACAGAAACTTCCTCAAGTGACTGAACAAACATGCTGTCTTTACATTTTTCTTTCTACTTTATGTGAGTTTGTGTACAAGCTGTGCAGTACGCAGATATTCCACACACCAACTCTCTTTTGTTGTGGTCTAATGTACATCCATCTTTTGTTTGTTGAAGCCATGACAGATTTGTTAGCCACAAACAATTTTTTAAAAACAGTTTTTATTAGTCTGTCCTCATCTAATGTAAGTTGATGTGTGTGTCTGCGCATGGAAGTTGACTGTCCTGGTCGAACCATTTTATAGAACGAATGTGTCTACAGGTAAATAACAAAATCTGTCCTTAAAACTTATCTGGTCAGTTTCACATTGTTATTCTATAGGCCTACGTATGATTGCTGTTATTTAAATAACTTATATTGTCTTTTTTCTTGTTGTCTTTGTTGCAGGTGTACAAGACTTATGTTTGACCCAACTTTTTCAAAATTTCATATAAAACAGGGGTTAGAACTTAAAATAACATCATACTTTCTGGAGTGTCCCTTAGTATACATAAAAAATGTGGAAATCTTTTAATGTCACAAAAGTGTCTAGAATTGTTTTGCTAGATTTATTATGCGAGCACTTCTTTATTCCTTTTGTTTGTTTGTCTACAAATGAGGTATTGTGGTTTTAATTATAAACTTAGTAGACTTTTTTTGTGTGTCTACAGTTGTAATTATGCAAGAAAAAAATGACTTCACTACAAGTGGTGTTATTAGTAGAACTTTCAAAAACAAAATGCAATATATGTGATGAACTAAAACACTCCATGTTTAGGTTTAAAAAACCAAGCAAGCAATTGATTTTTGTTTGTTGATGTGAACAAGAGTTGTGAGGGTTTTCTTCTCTTCCAATAGGTCTATTTTGTCTATCAGTAAGTTGTTGTTTTTTCTCTTCCAATAGGTCTATTTTGTCTATCAGTAAGTTGTTGTTTTTTCTCTTCCAATAGGTCTATTTTGTCTATCAGTAAGTTGTTGTTTTTTCTCTTCCAATAGGTCTATTTTGTCTATCAGTAAGTTGTTGTTTTTTCTCTTCCAATAGGTCTATTTTGTCTATCAGTAAGTTGTTGTTTTTTCTCTTCCAATAGGTCTATTTTGTCTATCAGTAAGTTGTTTTTTCTCTTCCAATAGGTCTATTTTGTCTATCAGTAAGTTGTTGTTTTTTCTCTATCAATAGGTCTATTTTGTCTATCAGTAAGTTGTTGTTTTTTCTCTTCCAATAGGTCTAATTTATCTCTCAGTAAGTTGTTTTTTGTTTTTTTTGTACATTCATAAAAATGAAACTAATTGTTAAAAAAAATCCTGTACCAAAAATTGTATAGATTAAAATATTCTTTTAATGACTTGTTCAAGAAAGGGTTATAAAATACTTTTCATTAGATGCTATTATAGTGAAGATGTAATAGAAATAAAGATACACACCTTTCAGACCTTGTGATCCATGTGGCAGATGATGGTCAAGCATATGGTTTGTTCTATGGCCAACAGTTAACAAAATGTTATGTGGCTACTGCCTTTAACTTCTCTAAGAAATGTCAATCTAAGTTGGGTGGACATGAGGTTCCAAAATCTCTGCCGTCACTGGGATTCCAGTTCTTGACCAAAGTGAGAGGTTAGTGTTGAGTTCAGTAGACTACGTAGATGTGAGGTCTGTACAGAAACTACCACTAAGAGTTCCAACTCTAAACTGAAACATTTCAACCAGAGTTTGTTGGCCATTGCTTCATTTATTGGCCTGCATTCTCCATCCTAATTTGACATGTATTTTTAATATAATAATAAGGCCTATCTTCGAGTCTGAAGATTAATGCAGTTTAATATAGCCTAGAGAAAATTATCAAACTGTTTTTAAAAAATATATATGGAAAGGTCCTATAGATTTTTCTAGTAAGAATAGATACATACTTTTTAATTAAATTGCACATTTGAGTATTTTGTCAAACTTTTCTGTAGTTCCAAAGTTCTGTTCACCACCAAAGGAGCAGTTTTTAATAAGTCAATGTGTGTTATATGCAATACACTGTACTACCATCTAAGTCTTGTGTTTGAGAATTGATGAAATGAGTGGGCAACTGGACGATTGTGTTAAAAAAAAGAACCTGGAATTCAACTTTTGAAATAGCTGGACTATGTACATATTATTTTATGATTAGGCTCAGTGACACAGGCACTTGTCAACCACACTTTGCTTTGTTTAATAGTCAACCACACATTGCTATAGGCTGGCATTTTTTGTTTTGTCATTACTGATTTCAGTTAATTGTTTATAACTATTTTCTTGATCAAGTCATCTTAGCTCTGCAAATAATTTTCTGTCTTGTCTGTTCTTGTATTTACAAACTATGAATGTATGACACTAGATTTGTTTACTATGTTAGCATTGACCTATGACCAACAGCCTCATGTTAGCGTTGGTCAAAAGTATCAATGCCCAGCTATCTACTGTTGGTGACTGTATAACTATTACCACTTCTGTATGTCCAAATATTCATTCTGTATTTGTCCTTCTTTTGTTTCATTTTGTATGTTTGTTCTCTCCCCTCATGTATTCCAATAAAAGTTTTCAGTTCAATACAAAAAGAAAAATATTTGGTCTCCTTTGTAGTTCTTCACTTTTATCTCAGCCAACCATTATTAGGGTAGTTGCTCTGTTGGATTCACTATAACACTTGGTCAAGCCATTAAAAAGAATTTTTTTTTGAGGGGGGGTGACATGAAGCATGGTTAACTTCTTAAGCCAGATTTATGGGTACAGCGTACCAGCACCTTTTTTTTTCAATGTGGGGAAACAAATTATTACTTTTCTTGTATTTTAACGTTTATAATTTAATATATTAGTAGTTAAAAGTTAGGCAATTCATTACCTTTTTTTTTAACAAAAAAAGCACTGTATAATAAATATATATATATATATATATGCATATCCCAGTTACTTAAAGATATCATTAGTTATGGAGAAAGGTTTTTGTTTAAACCTAAAGAAGTAAGTTATTCGTAAATTAAAATTGTTGATTATCATTAGCACAGTAAACACATCATTTAGTTTAAAATTTATTTCAACGTTGAATTATTCATATACAAAAAGTTTATTCAAACGAAAGTCAAATGATTTTTAATCAATAATACAGTGGCCCAAAAAAAGAAAACAAACTGTAGAGACGTATTTCTAGATGAATTGGCTGGTCATTTCATCCAAAATTCGACCATTTATTCAAATAATTTACTTGCTTATTATAAAGATTATCTCACAAACAATAAAGAGGTGGCTACAGCAAACAAAATGTAACTTATTTATAAATGGTCTCCTCCTCTGAAAGGATATGTACAATTATCAGGAAGATAAGGATTTCGGTACCAAAAATTGCACCTTTACACCCAAGGTTGCACAATAGTATAAATCCTCTTGAAATGAATAGAATTTCAAAGAATTATTGACTTCAACTAAGTAAAGCAATAAGCACCACAAAAGTGAATGAAGCTCTATCATACTTGTCACTGGGGAAATCTAAGTTTTCAGGTATTTTTTTTTTTATAGATTTTAACTGGCCCAACTTACATGCTCAGAGTGCTTTTACCCAATCTCTTTTGTGGACCAGTTGGGTGGAGGGGGGGGGGGGGTACTTGGAAGAAGTTTTTTTTTTACTAGTTGGACCTTGAGCCTTTTTGATAGGTAGCCAAGCAGTTTAAGCCTTTCAACCAAACATCCCACTCTAATTTTATGGGGCTGATAATAGTTCACTGTATATTAATTCTAAACCAACCAAATAATTATGAAAAAGTATGTATAATTACAAGGTATTGATTTTATTAAAAATTCATACTCATATGTATTCAAAGATTAAAAGCAACAGAAAAAAAGAATTATATACAAACAAAAGTGTTTGCAGGAGAATCATTTCTAATTTCTTGTTCTTAACCCAGTCCGGTAATCAAAAACAAAGTCAAGATAAAGGCAACATAAAAATTTACAAGAAACAAATATTCCACCTATACAGGATAAAAATGTTAGCCCCCCCCCCCCCCCAACCCACCCTTCCCAAAAAACAATATTAATGTTAAATTAATATGTAGGTTGAAATAAGACAAAGTACTTAAACACCTCAAATAACTCATCAATAGTGCAGCTTTTTGTAAGCGGAGAATGATTTTCCTTTAAAGCTAAATACAAGATATGTACACAGAAGACAATGTTTACAAATACAATCTATTGCACAGGCCAATAGAGAGTTATTATAACATGCTTTGCTGTTGGCTTCTGCAATATAAATATTGTAGACACAACTAAATGCAAGGAAATGGACATGGATCAAATATAGAAGCATACTTGACAAAGAAGACTAACCTTTAATGCTAGTAATATCATTTGACTTATAAATGACCAAACATTTCAATATTGTTCTGGTCAACATAGTTTGTTTTCATTGGATATTTGTTTTAACTCAATTTGTGCAGTGAAAACTCAAAAGGCATCAAACCTTACATTTAGTCGTCCCTAGACAACAATTAAGCAACTAATAACTTCTGTGATCAAAAGGATGAGTAAGGTACAGCAGCAGTTTTTTAAGATTTAATATCACCTAAATCAGTAATGGCCTTTGGCCATATCCCACCCTTGCGCTTTCTGGCTCCTTGTGTCAATGGTGCTTAAGACACACTTGTATATAGCCTCCAGGTCAAAACAATTTGGGCACCACTAGCCTAGATATTTTGTTCCAAGGAAGATTTGCTGCAGACCTAAGTCAACTGTTAAGTTTACTAGTAAGTGAACAACAGTGGAATTTACATGTCCCAGCTCTGACATCTCTGGGACATGTAAGTAGAAAATTCTGATTAGGAACAGATTTCTGGAATATTTGGTTTATGAGTCATGTACTATTCTTAAGTAGGATGACACATAATTTTATTCATACTAAATCTCTAATTACCTTATTTTGTAAGTTTTAATAAAAGTTGTTTTTCCCCTAAAGTTTAATCTGAAGCAAGCACAAAGGATTGTGATAAATTTTTTTTCAACAATTCAACATAGTTTTAATTGAAATGAACAAATTTGACAAGATATCAAAGGTTATAGTGTCTACACACATTTTATGCTATTTGACCACACTGTAGGCACAATTGTTCCAGTAAAACACCACAAACTGTCTGTATTTGAAAAACAAGCCCGTACATGAACAAACAACAGAGACTGTACATTTAAGTGTTTCAAATCCAAATATACATACAATACAAACTATGGAGTATCTACACACAAACAAGGGCTTCCTCTTAGTACACCCAAACAAATCACATTAACATTAAAACTAACAACATAAGAAAGCTTGTACCAATGGAATGGTGGCATCTACTTGTAAGAGGATTCATTCCAATGATAAAGTGCTGGAACCAAACAAGTAGATCAATATTTTAGAATATAGCTTTAGAATATAGCTGAAGGGGACAAAAATGTTGACCCTTTCTCTAGAATCCTCATAGGATTTTCTCAAATAAGCATTTCTTTAAAAAAAAAAGGTAATTAATTACTTTACTATACTTAAGCCTCTAAGATTTATTTTTCCATTCCTCTAAAAGGAAACACCTTACAGTGCATTTAGAGTTCAATTCTATTTACTAAAATGTTACAAGTCTTACAGTACATTTAGAGTATCGTATATTATATTATATTTAGTAAAAAAAAGTTTATTTTCAATATCCTATAAAAAAAATAAAAATTCAACAGCTAATAAAAAACTTTGACTCCAAAATGTTCAAATAAAGCCAATGTACATTTAAAATATCAACATGGTAGATCTACACAGTAGACCAAACAAAGCCTTGTTCAGCAAAGTGTGAATCAAAAGATTTGAATAATATTAATAGTTAGTTAACGCCTCATTCACGCCAAATAGTTTTGTACAGAATTTAAATTGACTCAATCTAAAACTGAAAAGTGAAAAATTAGTTGTCTTATCTGAAATATGTCTAATATCAATGTCTAGATAGACCTAAAGCCTTTTTCCAACCTGGTTCTAAAATGTTGAACTAGTTCATCAAAAGACAGGGAAAGGGAAGATCTAGACACGCATGAAAAAATAAACCCAGAAAATGAAACAGACATATTTATATAAATGCAACATTCAAAAAACAAAAACCCATTCAGAGGTGTAAATGTAGTGCATAGGTTTGTCTAGACGCAAATGAAACCAAATTTAGAAAACATGAACAGATGTATTACTTTCACTTCCTATTGCCACTATGTCTAACGCCAAAGGTAAAAAAATATGTTTAGGCACATTTCAGTTATCAAGTCATTAAAAAAAATAAAAATTAAACATTATATGTTAATGAGAAAAAAAAAGTAATTCAGCTTGATTTTCTTGAGACCAATGGTTATGACCTAATCTGGTGAAATGCACTTGTCTTGGTGAACCTTATGAAAATTCTCAAATCTCAACGCTCTTCATTTTGGTAATCATTTTCATGTCATATGCTTTTCTTTTTTACATCATATATTTCATTGTGGCTTTAAGCAGACCATTTTTTTTTAAACTTCTGCTCAGATTGTTTCTGTAGTCATTGGCTTACAAATCAGCATAAACCTAAAGGATAAAGGATAGGATTTGGGCTCCTGTATTCTATCCCCCAGCCACACTGCTTATCTTGTTTGAGCTACAGTGATCTATCCCCCCAGCCACTCAGCTTATCTTCCTTTTGCAGTAAAAGCCTGAACACCAAAAAAGATTGCAACTGATACCAGTTAGAGCGCAGTGACAGGCTTGAACACCAAAATAGTAACAGCTGATAGAGTGCATGATTTTATTAATCATAACTTTTTTAAAAGCATGTCCTATAAAGTAATAATAAGTGGAAAAACAGAAGACCAATAACCTTTTGCATCAATAGTGGGATTCAGACACCTGGAATATGCAAGAATAAACCTCCAAATATGGGCAATGTATATGAAACCAGTGAGCACTAAACAAAAAATAAAATGAGCTCAAAACACTGACAACACTCTCCTCCAAGCTTTGAGCAGACGTGGAACAAGGGAGATAATTTAACTTCAGATAGTTACCAACAGCAAAAACATTTTCACACATTTGTAGCAATGAGAACTTTGTTTCATGAACAAAAATATGAAAGAAAAGAATTTTGCTGAAGTATCTATGTTATAAATATCACTTCACTTTAAATGACAGCTTTAATTGGCCAACTATTCGCGGTTTCTAGAACATTTTTAATCACTTCATTAAAAAAAAAAAAAGGTGGGTCTGTAAGAAGACAAAAGGTGGCGGTCCAGGGTATCGGACATATCCATCTAAAGAATTCAGACTTAGTAATGCCCTTTTCATTTTTTTTTAATGGGGCATTTAGTATCTAGTCAGTTTGCTTCATTAAAAGGCTGCACATTGCTCTGATAGGAAAACAAATTTCTTTTACGATCTAAAGATAAAATTAAAAATACCAAACTTTAAAAGTACTATAATGATATAAGGACTTCTCTATTCTTATAGAAGTTATACTTCAATTGTGGAGTCAGACATATCACACAGACAATAACAATGTGAAGGTAGCTTACACTTACAGCAATCCAATCATGAAACAACAATAACCTGATCACCGCGATGCTACCAACATCTCATTCGACATCTTAAACAATGCCAAGCAAACATTCTTAACTCTTTTTCTAATAACTGACGATACCAACGTTGATTCCACTAGAATGTGGTAAATAATTACAGAGAGAAAGAGTTAAAGACCAAAAGCAAAAAGTTCAGAGTTGGAAAATATGAAAACAACTTAGAAAAAACAAGAGCCAAGGCTGCTGGGAACAGTTTGAAAAATGGATGAAACAAAGTGTGTCTAAAAGAAAATCCTACCAGTTGACTCAACCACAAGAAAGAAAACTATATAGACACACATAATGTAAATGACATTATTTAAAACAAAAATGTAAAACAACTGAAATGTCAACCATAATCATTGCCTTGATTTCCTATTGACAACAAAAATTTAGCCCACACCAAAATATTTTTTAAAATGTATTATTCCTGAGTAGGTCTTGCAGAAAGATAAGTTTATATGTCCAAATTTCAGTTGATATTTCTAAATGTCTGATTAAGCAGGCATTCTTTTCAATATAAACTGATGATTAACTTTTCATCCCTAAGTTGGAAAGTCATTTGGTAACAGTTTGAGTCAAAGTTTTGAATAAGCAGGCAAACTGTTTTCATGCTTGATGACCTGTTCAACTGGAACTAATACCCCAAGAATATGGACAGAACACCAATAGGGATCTCACAAAATATATTAAAAAAAACAGCCTCTACTAAGTTTCAATTTATCATACAGATAACAGCGTCAATAGGATTTCATGTTCAGCAACACAAAGTGCAGTTGTACAGGACTAACCAAAGGTTTCAACCTGACAAGAGCTGTCCCACTACGCAGTTGCCAGACAAGCTCTAGTTTTGAGGGAAAAAATTCATAGATTTTGTTTATTAAGTAATTCTTTAATTTTAGTTTAATTGTATTCCAAAGGTTATGTCTGTGCTAGATGTGGCAAAACATGTAGGTCAGAGCTGGGACTGCCTAGCCACATGAAATACTGCGCTCCTCCTTAATCTTCAGACTTGAAGACAAGCCTAGTATTATTATTCCAACACTACACACTTTCTAATGACATTCTTGTGTCATTCCATTTCTAAATTTCTAATCTACTGTAATGTCAGAGTCATGACATTTATCCATAAATAATTACCAATGTGTGTGATAACGTTGGCGAATATATAAACAGAGTGTATTTACAAAATGTGGTTTAACCTCCAATAGGCTAGCAAACAAAAATCTTAAATAAATTGTTTTTTGATATGAAATTCTCGACTAGAGGCTACAT